ATGTTATGTTCTTTTTTTGGGTGGAAGAAATCATACTATGACTTCTTTCGCCCGGGTAAAAAGAGAGAGGTGTCAGATTCTTACTGACTAAAAACCACCCCGTTCTTACTCCTGCACTTTGAGCCGGAGCCCCAGCATCCCGTTAATCATCAGCCATCACCGCATCAGCCCTATTGGGCCTCATCTGTGGTGGTCTGATGGCTCTTTGAGGCGAGCGCGGAACGCGACGTGCCGTACGCTCGGGTCTGGTTCTGGTCGGGCGGCGAGTCATCCGTTCTCGCCGTCCGCAGACCCGTACTTACGGTGGCCGGAGATAACCTTCCTTCGTAAATGGACTATCCAACACAATTCAGTTCCTACCAGTAGTTCCGGAGACAGAGGCGTTCAAACAAACAAACTATTAAAATATTGTGTGTTGAGTACTTACAGGTATTGTAACCGTCAAGTTAGCTTCATTAGGCTTCAGTACAATAATTGGTCGAAGTAAGACATCATAGTCTTTCGAAGTATCACCTGGTGAGAAATGTCAAATGTTTTCAGTTGAAACTAATAACCGATTCTATTCCAAAATCCATTACCATGGAGATTAGAATAACATAACACAACATAACATTACGCCATTACGGCACTTAATGCCACTGTACAATGTAACACCCACTTTTCACATTTATGTTATGAGTCCCATGTAATGGGGGGTGAGCCTATTGTCATATAGATATGTGATTATAGGGCAATAGATCGGAGATAGAATAGAATATATGAGAGATTATTAGTTATGGTGTAGATCAAAAACGACATTCGATCTTCAAAAACAGCACACTAACGTAACATGAATACGTCCAACGCTCTGATTGGCCAACTCCAATGAACCAGCCAACCAGAGCGCCGAACGCAGTCTCATTTCGGTTACTTTAAACATAGAACAAACTCGTACTAAATCCTCTGAGGTCCTTTTAACTTATAATATGTCTAGCTTCTGCCAGCGGCTTCGCCCGCGTTCCGGTGGAAGAAAAAGAGGCCAATGTGTTATTCCAGACCATAATCTATTCCTGTGTCAAATTTCATTTCGATGCCTTAAGCCGTTTTAAGCCGTTTTGACGTGGAGAAGGAACAAACAAGCATACATCAATACATCAATACATAGTATAAAACAAAGTCGCTTTCGCTGTATGTCCGTATGTATGCTTAGATCTTTAAAACTACGCAATGGATTTTGATGCGGTTTTTTTTAATAGATAGAGTGATTCTTAAGGAAGGTTTGTATGTATAATACATTCATATTGCACCCGTGCGAAGCCGGGCGGGTCGCTAGTATGTAAATATAGTAAGATTGGTGTAGATATTCACATAGGATTCAAAAGGATCAACAGGCCCTTTTAGCATAGGCATGTTATCGGCGTCTCTCTTCTAATTCTTCGTTTCAATTTTTCAACTCTTATATTTTTATTACTTCCACTGTCACACCTTGATTGTTTTTTTTTTATGTATGCTGCATCGTGTCTGGTGCTAAATAAATGTTTTTTCTTTCTTTGCTTTTCTTTCTAAATGCCCACTGCTGAGCTAAGTCTCTTCTCACACGAAGGTTTGATCATTAATCACAACGCTTGCTCAATGCGGGTTGACGATATCAAACTTAGAGGTATAACTAGAAGCTATAAGTCCAGGTTTCCTCACGATGTTTTCCTTCACCGTTTGTCAGTGGTGTCTAAACAATCTTAGAAAGTACATATAACTCGGAAAAAGTCACATTGGTACTTGGAAGGTTTCGAGACCGCACCCTCATGCATGAGGGGCGGGCGTCTTAAACCTCCGGGCTACCACAACATCTAAACACAGGTTCACATAAGATTAAGGATAAGCTACTTTTTATTTTGTTAGGAACGCAAAGTGAAGCTGCTTGCAGAATCTAGTATAACAGCTAAAATTACTTACCATAGGTTTCTTTAGTACAGAAATTAGCCTTTACTGCCACCAGGATGCAGGCGGAAAGTATTACAAATTTTAAGGAAACCATGTCGACTATAATAAGTATAAATATAAAATAACAATAAATATGCTATACAGTATTTACTTCGGAGTAAGTTTAAAATGAACCGTAATTTTGTTTCGTAGCATGTATACAAGATGTTACAGTTTTTTATGATAGCTTCTAACAAGAAGACGGGATCATGGCTCTTAATCTGCGAAATTGGGATGATGACAGAGTATGAAAATTAAAAATATAATTAGTCCGTAAGTTAGGTACTGAAAAATTATATACCTATTAGACACGTATTTTTTTATTTTGTCGTATGATAAAACAATACTTAGATAAAACGAATCAAAGGAGTAGATAGAAGTGACGTCACGCGACATTTCAAATCAATATATCGTCGAAAGTATTCGTTTCTGTAAGAAAATAAAAAATACGTGTGTAATGATTCAAAATAATCTACCAGACGGACATTAAAATAAAAATTAGGCATCTATTCATTTGATACGACTCATCAATTTGATACGATTTTGCAATAGGGTATTGCAAAATCGTATCAAATTGCAGATTAAACAAAATCTGAATTTTTTTTAACCCGTCGTGTGTCTAAACGTGAATCCACGCGAGACTCATTTTTTTTTCTATTGTGTCTCATATAAAGGCATTCAAGCGGTTAATGGGACAAGCCCACTGCAAACTGCAACTCCTGTGCACCAGGATCTACAGTAGATGAGTAGATACAACCATGACACTACAGAAAGAACTTGCACGGTTCTCACACAGACCTCTGAGTTTATTTCGGCATTTCTTCTCAGAGTAGTCAGTTAGGAAATGTCGACCTCATCGTTCGCTTGATAAAATTGACGTGTAAAAGTGCTGCCCTGTAGCCTATTTGCAGAAATAATTTCACTTCACGTGCAAACACCGGAACACTGTTCGGCGCGTTTCAGGGATATGAATAACTGTCTTGGTTCCCGCAACGAAATAAATCTTTATTGATGAAAATAATGTTATGCAATTTTGAAATTATTCAACATCAGTATTTCCGCTATTCACGCCGTCACCCAAGAACCGGCAACCGAAACACTCGAGGTGCGTTGCTAGCCCAGGCATTGGGTATTTGGAGAATTCTCTCTTTTCTTTCTGTGTCGATAATTTGAGTGGTCACAACTCACAACTGCCACTGGTAAATGACTGGTTTGACGTTTCAAAAGTACCAAATTATGGTTTAATTGAAATAATTTCTTTTGAGTTTGAGTTTAAACAGGGAGTGGCGCACTTACGACGTTGCAAAAAGGAAATCGGGAACAGGAACCCGGGGAAGAATTTTACGAAGAACCCGGACATGAACTAGTTTCGATTCATTCTAGACGCTGATACTTATGAGCAGCAGTCAATACTGCAAGTCGAGTTCCTCTTAATTTAGTATGTCTCACAAAAGTGAACTTAAAAATAAACACGATAGTACTTTGAGCGATCCAGAAATCGACCGCGTGACCCCCCCTTTTTTTAATAATAATAAATTGTCTTTCTCCACGGACTTGAGTCTGTGCCCTTGTCATATTACAGTTTCATTGTTTTCCTGGTCAAATAATTGTTATAAAGATCTTACATGCTACGCCAACCACTAATATCACTACACAAAGTACGTTATGTTGTTACCTAATTAGTATAATCTTATTATCTTACACTAACCCTACTGGATCAGCCCACCAGCACGATGAGCGAGCCGACCTGCTCCAGCAGATGGCGAGTCCACGCGTATGACGTGTAGGCCAGCAATCGGTCCGATCAACCATTTCGTAGGGAACGGAACGACCCAGCCTACAGCGCCACCGACTGTAGAACATTTACGAATGCATGACGTAACCCTGCCCTGCCCTGCCCACGCGGCAGTAAGCCAATTCTAGTATTGCTAGTGGATTACCGCATGACCCCTTCATCGGCTTCATCGACGTCGTTGCAGCCTATCGACTATGCTGGCAAATTGAATTCAACTGCACCCTGTATAAGATTAGTTGAATATTAATCCATTATCCATTACTAATTGCTTTTAAAACGGAATAATAAACTAATTGTATATGTAATTATTTGTCTAGGTACTAGCTTTTGCCCGCGGCTTCACTCGCGCTCATTAAGTTGTGGCGATTTACAAAAAAAATGTGGCACGATTTTATGTCCGCATTCCAATTTTTAGCTTTATGCCTTGAATATTGTCAAATGTTCCATACAAACAAATTTGTATGGCTACTTTTTTATATGTGATGGGTCGACGTTGCCATTGACCACTATCTCGCCTGGTGGTAAGCAATGTTGCGGCCTAGGATGCCATTATTCATTTTGCCGTTTTATTTTAAGAATTTAATTATTTCCATTCGTTTTAGTTACCTATGTACCTAATGCTTGTAATGTGTTGTCCTTTGTAATATTGTCTACTGTGTGGTGTACATGAAATGATAAATAATTAAATAATAGTTAGTATTTATTTTATTTAAGTGTGTTCCGGTGTTTTCATGGTTGTATCTACTGTAGATCCTGGCTTACAGGAGTTGCAGCGGTTTACGGCGTTATAGCGGGCTTGTCGCATAAAAAAATGTTGTGAATTTGCGGACCAACCAACTAATTTGCAAATTATGGGCTGGAACTTCTTTCGTGATTCTACTACCTGAATAAAAAGAAACTTAGAGAATAGTATTTTACTAGAATTACAGAAGAACAGTGGATCCTCCGACCAAGTGAGGTGATCGTGCCTGGCGCAGGCGGGCTTTCTGCCCAACAGTTGTTAGTTGGGATATTCTATCCGTGTTAATTCGCATGTAAACTTCACAAGTTCGTTGATGTGTCGTTGATCTTCCGTATGTCGCCGCACTAGTTTCAATACTTTAATGATGTAAGGTAATTAAATTACGGAAGGAATTTATCATAACATAACATCGTGCCTTCGTGCAGAGATGCACATTATGGCACTTAGGTAATATCACTGTACAATGTAACACCTACTTTTCACTATTTATGTTACGAGTCCCATGTAATAGGGGGTGAGCCTATTGCCATATACCGAGCACGTATCCAGACTCCGTGCTACTACGGAGATTTGTAAAAAAAACCAGTAATACTTTGCCCGACCCGGGAATCGAACCCGAGATCCCTTACCTCACACTTGCGAACACTCGCCCAATGAGGCAGTGAGAAAGGAATTTATTCACATTTTAATACACTAATTAAAACAGTCACTAATCAGAGAAAAACTCGCATTTTTTCCAAATTAACGAACATTTTGTTTCGCATACTCGTTAAAACGAAAATAATTTAAAACAATTACTTACGCCATCATTTATGCGTGAATTTGTTAATTTTCCTAATTTATTTTTAGCTTTAAATAGTCAAAGAGTTGATGGTGGTGGACTAGTCTTGACCAAAATGTCAGCTTTCATTTGTTTTTTGGTAGCGGTCGCAGCGAGCACTAGCCATGTACTTGCTATGGCTGACTTTTGCATCCCTATATCCATAGGTAAGATTACTTTTTACCCGAGTCTAGAAACTAAGTGAGGCCACGTATTGTATGGCACGAATGGACCGGCTCGACCGATGAGCTACGAGTGATACCACGGCCGAGCAGAAAACCGACATGAAACAACGTTTGTGTTATGTTTTCACTGTGTGAGTGATCCATCTTGTTTTTTTAAGAGGGGAAAATCATCGTATTAGTTCTCCCGTCTGGGTGAGACGGGAGGGAGTGTCAGACTCTCATGCCTCTGTCTCGAATTTTGCGGGCAGCGGGGCGGCGGCGGCGGCTTGGTTGGCACTGCTTGACTAGAGTACACCGCTCGTTGCCCGCCGCAACGCTGCTATGTTTTCGAGGACCAGTCCATTTGATTTTACGCATAACATCCTGCCGCTCCTGCACCGCTGCCACCGCCGCCCCGCTTACTGACTAAAAACTACCCCGTTCCTAGTCCTGCCCTTCGAGCCGGAGCTCCGGCATCCCGTTAAGTACTCCGCGGTTCCGTATCGGCATCAGCTTAATTGGAAGCTGTCAGCTCGAACTCCCGAAGTGAACTCGATCGTGTCATGCCATGTCATTGGTTGTAAGAATAGTCTCGAATTTCGACCAACGACGGGTTGGAATCCGATAGAGCTCACTTCGAGAGTTCGGTGTGATAGCTCACACAAATAGCCTAGCTGAAAAACCCAATCTTCAAATTCCAAAGGCCGGTTTATCTAGTATTACCACGTCCACAGACGACGATAAATGCTTAGATACCATCAGGTGGACCGTCTACGTCTGTTCGTTTACTATAAAAACGAAGCAAAATGGGGGTTGTGATTTGGATCCCTGGCTGTGTGTATGTACCACGGCTCGGGCAAAGTAAACAGCTCGTCCACGGCTGGACTATGGATAAGAGGGGTATATCCTACGCAAATGGGAGATAAGTTGGACATCACAGCGTAAAAGGATTGTCAGAGAACGCTGCTAGCCGGCCTCTGTCAAATGTGTAGTCATTTCGTCATGATTTTTTTTTTTTAAAGAAACATTGCCCCACCCTAGCGTTTTCTTATGTGTCGTGGGTGCGTTTACAAACATACAAGTTCACATACACATCACACTCAGACCCGGAACGAAAATTTGTGGATCACACAAAAAGTTGCTCCGTGCGGGAATCGATCCCGCTACACGTTGCGTGCCCCAGCCACCGCGCCAATCGTTCTGTCAACTCTTTCTACACCTGTTGACACATGTATCCTACTCATCCACCACAGGGCACCATCATCAGCTTGTCGTCACGGAGTATAAATCACCTGAGATATTTGTTTAATATTTTTTAATTTTTAGGACAAACTACTGCCTACCCAGTAACGCTGACAAAGACAGTCCTTACACCCGGACCTCTTGACTGGCAAGTTCAAATTCCAGTGAGTATTTATTTTATTATGATCTTTTTAACCAACTCCGAAAAATGAGGTTCGCAGTACTGCCTCGTTGGCCGAGTGGTCGTGTGTGTTACTGGGTTTTTAAAAATCTCAGTAGTAGGACGGAGTCTGGAAATGTGCCCGGTATATGGCAATAGGCTCACTCCCTCTTACATGGGACTCATAACATAAATAGTGAAAAGTGGGTGTTACATTGTACAGTGGCATTAAGTGCCGAAATGTGTACCTCTGCCTACCCCTTCGGGGATAAAAAGGCGTGATGTTATGTTATGTTAGGCTGAACTGATTTGGATACGGTTTTCAGAACAATGTTTAATACACTTAGGATAACGTTTTAGTATAGTAGTTTATTTAAGAATTATTTACAATTCATCATCAACTCCACTGATAGACAATGGGCCTCCTCTACATATGAGGGTATGCCATAAGTCTTGGAAGTAGATATGAGCGCCGGTACTTGATAAGTCGGCGGCGGCGCGCCGACTAAAAACAGTCGGCGGCGGCGGCGCAGTCGGCGGCACGATTTTTGAGATCAACATTTTTTAAGATCAATTAAACTTTTATGACGAAATAATTAACTATCCTAATAACATTTGCAAGTACAAATAATCAACAGTACCATCAAATTTAAATAATAATAAAACAATACAGAGGTAGATAACCTAAGAAGCTAAGCAAGCTCCGGCCACCGTAAGCGCGGGCCTGCGGACGGCGAGCATGGGTGGCTCCCCGTCCTAACAGAAACAGACCCGAGCGTACGGCGCCGAGCGTTCCGCGCGCGCCTCAAAGAGCCATCAGACCACCACAGATGGGGCCCAATAGGGCTGATGCCGATTCGGAGTCGCGGAGAACCTAACGGGTAACCGGGGCTCCGGCTCGACGTGTAGGAAAAGGAACGGGGTGGTTTTTAGTCAGTAAGAGTCTGACACTATGGCGGGAGCAGTCTTTCGATGATTTTCGTACCTTAAAAAAAAAGCTATTGATAAGCTTTTTTGGCAATTGAGTCCAGGTACACTACAGTAGTTGTAGGTACACATAATTACAACTTAATCCTATGATTAAGTTACATATTGTAAGTTACGTATTGTAAGCTACATATTGTAAGTGTGGGCTCCATAGCCCACACTTACAATATGTATAGCAAAATAATAGATAAGAAAAACGAAACAAAAAGTTTAACGAAAATTATGCATCGAGTAATCAAACAAGCAAACTAAATATCAGCTTTGCACTGTGTGTGATTTTCATGAATGAATATAATACTCTAACTAATGAATGATTTACTCTCTTTTGAGCCGTAATCAATTGTCCAGCGTTGGAAAATACTCTTTGGCTTGGGGTACTTGTCGCTGGGATGAATAGTAATGCACGCGCCAAACTTGACAACCACGGAAATGATTTCTTTCGTTCTTGCCAATATTCAAGCACGTTATCTTCATAAGCCTGAAGATCTGCGGCCGTGGCTGTGCTGAAAACACTTGCTCACCCAAAACAGACCTTTTTTCTCTCCAACGCTCACAATTAATTGCCCGAAATGGTTCCAACAAAAACTGTGTTTGTTGGTGGATATTTTATTTAAAACAGTTTCAGACAGCTCCCTTATTTTAGTTTTTGTAACGTCTAACTCATCTGTTGACAATTTGGACTTATTTTGTAACAAATAATACGAGCGGGCGTAGCAAACTGACTTTTGCCAGCCGGCCGGCGCGCCGTCCGCATCCGTCGGCGGCGGCGGCGCGGAGGTAACGCGCGGCGGCGGCGGCGCGCCGGCGCGGCGCTCATATCTACTTGGAAGGCGGTAGGAATTGCAGTTTTACAAAACAAAATCGCAATCAAATCATAAACTACTGGCATTTGTTTGTAGATTAGATGCCCTTACAATATTGGAGTACCATTTTTATTTAATTTTTTTATAACGTGGGAATCCAAAAGGCGCCAAACTATTTTGGGGATAAAAAACTAGGGAGTGTTAGTCGCCACCATCACCTATGGTGGGCACCGAGTCCTCTGTAATAGACCTGCTCTGGAACTCCCCGGTGAAACGCCTGTAACGGCACTTCACAAGATGTGCATCTCCTATAAGCATCGCTACGCACGATGGCACGTGACCACTGTGCCACCGTCTCGGGGGGGGCGGCGCCCGTGTCCCCAAAGGTCTGCCTGCAGATTATGCAGGCATGATACCGGCGTGTTAGGCGCCAAGCCGGTTACCTTCGCGCCTTCAACGAGCAACAATATTGTAACAATAAAGCTGATTTGATGATGGAAGTGGACGGTGGCAAGGTCAAAACATTTATTTGAATAATTAATCTTTAATTAGGCACGTTTAGAACGTCAAATTAAATTGTCAGTGAAGCTAGGTGCTCGTTAGAAGAGAAGAACGAGCAAGAAACTCCATCGTCAATCCATGTTTTAACAATCTCCTAAACACATTATCCGATCATTTACCTTTATTCCTTTGGTAATGGAACCTAGTACCTTAGTGTAATGGCCCGGAGGTTAAGACGCCCGCTTCTCATGCATGGGTTCGAAACCTACACATACAGCAAGTACTTTGTTGACTTTTTCCGAGTCATATGTACTCTCTAAGTTTATTTATTTATTTATTTATTTATTTACACTTCTGTATAACGAACATACGATGGCGGACTTAATGCCGGGTGGCATTCTCTAACAGTCCTCCTTCTCTACCTCTGGTATGCCTTGAAACACAATGACTTTCCGACGGCGCCTCATCTCCGACTCATCTCCTGTTGAGACCTGTTGCCGCAGCATCTTTAGTATACTAAGGACGAGCACCCGGAATGTGCGGAACTCATCTGCAATCTTGGCCACGGTGTCCTTCGCAGAGCCAGCAGCCTATATCTGATCCTCCACCTCACCTAGTTTCTCTAAGAGCCTGTCCCGTACCGTCAAATGTACATTTATGAGCTCGGTGTTTTCAGACATTGTGGCAGTATAACAGTGCTTGTACCGTGTAATAATAAAGTTCTTCAAAATTTGATGTGCTGGCAGGTGGTGGCCAAAATTTGTTTTAATCACATAGAACTGGCAGACACTTGTGATTTGTGACGCTAATAAACTATATAATACTTGGTGCAATTGAAGCTACTAAAAAACTTTTTAAATAATTTATACTAATTTATTTGTCTGTAATAAACTTAAAACGCGTGTGTACTTGTCGAGCACCTACCCTAGAATACCCTAGAATCATATTTAAACACCACTTACAAACGGTGAAGGAAAACATCGTGAGGAAACCTGAGCTTATAATTTCTAATTATAAGTTTGTAATCGCCAACCCGCATTGAGCAAGCGTAGTGATTAATGCTCAAACCTTCTCCGTTTGAGAAAAGGCTATGCTCAGCACTTTTAGGGTGTTGATGATAATGATGTATGAAATGGAACTTTGGGCTACTAACTAATAAATATATCGAGTCTTTTTAGATGGCTTAGAGTACGGGGACATATGTATGTTAAGAAGCGCGTTTGAGTTGTTTAACCTTGAATTTAATTTTGTTTTCAGGAAATCCCTTACTGTCATACAATCGTCGGAGTCACAGCACAAGTATGCGACAGCGATACTCAGCCCGAAGCACACTTCGTTAACATGAAACTGATCCACGTGCACCGCGTGTATGGGCTCACTCCTGCCTATGTCCAGCCGATAGTGTACTGTCAAAATGTTGGATCTTCCAAACTGAGCAACTTGGGATCATACTCGAGTCTAACTCCCAGCCCTGTATTACAATTACCATCACCCTTAAAATCATACAGCCAAACATATTCTTCGCTTGCTTTCCCTAATTCCCTTTTGAGTAATTCTCTATCTCTTTCATCTCTTAGCGACTCTTCGAAGTCTCTCTTGAGTCAGTCCGTGTCGGATCAAAGACTACCACTAGCAAAAGCTGTACCGCTTTCACTTTCATCTGGTCTAAATCGGTTTTCAGCTTCGAAACTGAGCCTGAGCCCTCAATATGGCAATTCTGATCTGTCCGAGTTAGATCGACAACTTCACTTAAATTCCCTATTGGGTCAATCTTCACAATCAAGTTTGGGTTTATCTGGACTTCCTAAATTGAGTGTTACTCCACTTTCGGGTTCCCCACAGCCGGTTTACGGTCAGTCGAGTAGTCTATATTCATTGTTGAATCAATCTCCTTCATTAGCTTCCCAATTGGATGTTTCTTCTGTTTTAGATAATTCGAAATCTGTATTTCCGCGAGCTGGCGTTCCACCATTTTTGAACCTGTCTCAAAGATCTTTGTCTTCATCACTGTATAGTTTGTAAGCAATTTTTTGTAACAAGTTGACTCTTGAACAGTTTTGGTTACAATTGGCGATTCTAGACTCCTTTGACTCCTTTGAATTTTCCATCTAATCCAATTTGTATGTATTTAAAAATGCGCCATACGTTTGGCACGTATTATATTATTTTTTTCTTTGGCAGCATATCTGGCATTGTTCTGGCTATTTCGTATTGGAATCATGAGATTCTTTGGCTAAATCTTTTTCGAAGATTTGATTAAAAATCGAATTTTAATTTCGTGAATCTTAACTCAAAAAATTAAATTGTCTCTAAACATATTTTTGTATTTTTATTTCATATTCAACTACTGTGTCTGAAAGAAAGTAGGTACGCATAGGAAATAAAACCTTAATTGTATGTTCTACTAAACGCCGTAAGGTATTCCTTTTAAAAATTTATGGGGCAGGCTATTAAATATTTATATTATGATAGTATAATCGAAAAAAAACCCTTAACCGACGAGCATGCATGAAAAGACTGATGACTGTGGATGAAGCGAAAGAGGTAACTATGTAAGAATCGTAGCAATTGACGTTCCATAGTCTCTGTCTATCCTAATGGGAGACAGGCGTGAAGTTATGTATGATACTGATAATGGGGATGATGACAGGGTATGAAAATAAAAAATATAATTAGTCCGTAAGTTAGGTAATTAAAAAATATTACACACGTATTTTTTTATTTTGTCGTATAATAAAACAATACTTAGATAAAACGAATCAAAGTTTAGGAGTGGGGGCTAAAACGTCATTTCTTAGTATAAAATGTACTGAGAAGTGACGTCACGCGACATTTCAAATCAATATATCTTCGAAACTATTCGTTTCCGTAAGAAAATAAAAAATACGTGTCTAATGTTTTTAAATAATCTACCAGACGGACATTAAAATTAAAATTAGTCGTCTACCCCATTGTTGGTGCAAAAAAATAGGAAACAAAATCACCTGCAATCGATTGTAACAGTTTACTGTTATCTTATTTAACTGTTTGTTGTTTAATGTACTAATGTATACAATTGGGTACTTATCAACTAGTCGAATTCAATACTTTTTTCGAACTGTTAAAAACGACAGTTTTCTATGAATGTTGTACGAGATTGTGTATTGTGACGTCACGTTTTTATAGCGTCAAACACCATACTTATCTATTAAAAAATTACTGGAAAAATACTAAAATTAGGTTGGTCATGGAATCAATTCATGAAACTGTGATTATTTTTGGATATTTTATTGCATTGAACAGTCAAAATAATTTATTTTTGATTAAGAAAGATACCTAATTATACATATATTATAAGTAGGTAGAATTGCAATCTTTTTTTCTTGAGTTCTATACTCAAAAATTCACATTGTGTCTTATCAGATATGGTCAGTTTATAATTGGAAACAGATAGGCCATTCGTAACGGTAAATTTAGGCAACATACACAGCGCATACGTGTTAGGGTTCATTAATATTATGATTTAATTTAATTATTGAAGTTGTCATTTTAAGTCTATTATACTAAACTTTCGCGGAGAACCTAACGGGTAAGCGGGGCTCCGGCTCGACGTGCAGGAGAAGGAACGGGGTGGTTTTTAGTCAGTAAGAGTCTGACACTCCCTTCCGCCTCACCCAGGAGGGTCATTCGATGATTTTCCCCCCTTAAAAAAAAAGTATCCATAATTTTATAGCCAAAACCGATTCAAATTAATGAAAAAAAAAACTAAACTAAACTTTGGTTTGGTTAACAAAAATAGCGAAAAAACAAACAAAATCGAAATTAAATTGCTTCAAAAGTAACTTTCTACAGCCATTATCATTTCAATCAGTGACCAAGCTCGGCTTTTGTTCTTTATTTTAAAATCTTAAATTCAAATTTGGAAGAATACATACGGAAAAGACGATGAAATATGCCAGCATTAAAAATGCATAAAAACTTTTTTGTTATGTTGCATATATTTTGTGTAATGGGCTTTTAAGCCCGAGAATGTAATGTGGCTCGATTCAAGTGTCCGGAAGTGTATTATGATTTAACTAATTTAATTATTGAAGTTGTAATTTTAAGTCTATTATACTAAACTTCTTTGTGATTGACCATAAACAAACATAAAAATAAAACGGACTTGGATTCTCGAAATGTCAACTGATAACATCGAGAACGTGGGTTTGAAAAAAATAGAACGGGCTTGAATTCTCAAAACGTCATCTGACGATTTCGAGTCAGCGGTCGAAAAAGGCGGGAAAACGAATGGGATTTTGAACGGATGGCGGCATTCTGTTGGCGGGACTATTGACGAGAGGAGATGTAATATTTGTTTCTTTGTTATAAATGTGTTTTGGAAGAAAAGAATATCGCACCTACGGTGCAATATCGTCACTTATGCAATTTTTGTCAAAACTTAACTGATTAAGATTATGAAAGAATACTCCGAATTCACCTCTTTACTTGGTGCGTTATTGTCATTTGTGTAGTACGCAAACTGACATTGTGAGGGCATTACTCGTGTCGTTACGGTTTTGGTGCTAATCTGGACGGCACTAGGAGAAACAACGTTTCATTTTTCAGTTGCGCGCGGGCCTCCGCAATACATAAGTGACGCTATAGCACCGGAGGTACGATATTCTGTATTATCGATACCAAGTTGTTTCCTCTAAAATCTCCGTTTCTGGCCTTCATATTCTGCAAGTTGTTGATGCTACAGTGGAGTACCGTTTATACACGGAACAATCTAGAAAATTAGAATTCACATTTTTTTTAACAACAAAATAAATACATGTACACTTATAAACTAAAATTAAAACAGAGAATAAAAAGCAAACAAAAATGCTCCATTACACGTCAAACAAGTCGTCCACATCGCTGTCACTGGAGAACGTTCCCAGAAGACTGGCAGCATTGGGTTCTTTCTTAGTCAAAAATAAATTAACTATTTGACGACTGTTCAATACAATAAAATATTAAAAAATAATCACAATTTCATTTATTGACTTTATGATCAACTTAATTTTAGTATTTTGCCAGCTAATTTTTAAGAAATAATTATGGTGTTTGACGCTAAAAAAACGTGACGTCACAGTACACAATCTCGTACAAAATTCATAGATGACTGTCGTTTTTGACACTTGAATTTGAATAAAGTATTGGGTTTGACTAGTTGTCAAATACCATAGAGTCACATACAGGTGGCCAGGGAGTTACTAACTGTCGTCGTGACTGATCGACGAGGTGACACGACTAGTTTCGAGCCACACCGGACCCTTATATCGAGTAGCATCCGCGTGCGCGTATAATGAAACGATACGAGATTTATACACAATAACGTGTCAACTATTCATATATTATTATAGTTATGTAAAAAGAGATTGCCATTACCTGACATTTGAATTTGTACGTTTTTTTTTTAATTTTTGACATTGTTAATTGGTTTATTGGCATCTGAAATGTGATTATTATTGTTCTATTGACATTGTAATTCATTCATTGAAGCCTAAAATTTTTGTTTTTGACATTTTTAATTTAATAACTCTGGATTTCAATTTGAGAATTTAATTTATTAATTATTTCAATTTCTCCGCTTTTTAATTATTGATATTCAACAACATTGTATTTTTATTTTGTTTTGAATTGGAGTCATTATTGATTATTGGAAATTGTAACTTAGTTTGTCTTGTTTTGATTTGGAATCATTAGCAAGGGTTGTGTTTAGATTGTTTGTTCTAACTTAGAATCATTTTTGAGAATTGTAATTTAGTTTTGTTGAAGTATTTGCATGCCAAATTTATGGGCGAGATATGATGAACTAATGTTATATCATAAAATCTGTAAACCACCATATTTCAGGCAAATAAATGAATCTATCTATCTATTGCCTCACGATTCCAGACTCCGTAAACCTTCCGAGCGTACCTACGGCTTGCTACGTTCCGCGTGCGCCTCAAAGTGACATCAGACCACTACACTCTACAGGATGGATTGATGCCGATACGGAGCCGCGGAGGACTTAAAGGGTTACCGGGGCTCCGGCTCGAAGTGCAGCCGCAGGAGTAAGGACAGGGTGGTTTTTAATCAGTAAGAGTATGATACTCCCTCCCGCCTCACCCAGGCGGGAGAAGTCATTGGATAAATAATTTTCCCCTTTTTATCGACTTCAAAAAAAGGTCAAGGTACTATGTTCGGCTGATTGCTTTTTGTTTTTCGTTTTTTTTTAAATAAAAAATACAAGATTGGTACAAAAGCCTACTGATTTTACCAAAAACGGAAATAATCCCAACGATTTCGTCGTCAGCCAACGACGCAGTCTAAAAGGACAATGCCAGGTGCTCAGTACATCTTTGACCCACTATATTAGAAGTCATGTACAAGTATGCAGTATTCAGCATCGTGTAGTCTACTAATTACCGATACCTAAACATTTGTCCTGAAACCTGTAAAACTTGCGATTTTTGTTTAAAACACAAAACAATAATGATAAATAACGCGAAAACAACGGAAACGCAGAGAGCGAATGAAAGATAATATTGGCACTGACAACTGACAACTGAAAAGCGCCTCAAAACGTTTCGTTACACAAAAGGATCTTAACTAATGATAATAATCGTTTCTTATATTATATTTTCGTGATTTCAGCTGTAATTATTAATAAATAAATGTTATACATAATTATACTTCTCAAATAATATTTTATGTAGAATGATATCTTTTTTACAGTTACTTACTTTTTTGTTTTCATAGTTTCGTACAAGCGATGCGTATGATGTAACGCAAATAGTCATTAGACAATATGGAAGACGCATTGCAAAAAAGTATTTCCGGGATTGAACTTCTTTTTTTATTAGATTGCAAACTGCAAGTTTAAAAATAAAAAGATTTATTGTGAAAAGGTTCCTTATTCGTCAAAATTATTTTCATCAATTTACTTTTTTTGTAAATGATATTATGACTGGGTCAGGATCTGGCATTGTCATTTAATCTCGAAAATTTGCCTTTATGAATACGACCTTAGAATGTGCTGTTTTTCGGAATTTTTCATAGAATTTAATTCATAACTAGCTAGAATGATATTCGTGAAGTTCGTTTTTCTTTTAATTTGTAAGTATTATAATCTAATCTATATAAGTTGTATCTAAGTAGTATTATAATTTTTCGACCTTTTGTGAAAGTGAATGAAAACAAATTAAAATCGCCAATGAAAAAAAAATGGCACGTAGGTACGTTACATCTAGCCATTAGGAGTGATAGTTGAGTTGGGTATAGAAGTTCTAGTAAAGGCCCAAATAACGATTTCGTCTGCATGCTA